GCAAAGATCAAATTTGAGGACAGAGGCATAATCCCAAGAATCCTGCCCACACAGATAAGAAAATTCAGTCCTAAACAACACACATAACCCTGACAAACAGATCCTTCTGATGCCTGTTGTATCCAGGTTGGGCTTCATTCTCAAAGAAAGTTTCACTTCCTGCTCCTGTATTGTGAAATGGACTGCCAGAGCTGGTGGGAAAAACCACCCTCTGATAGGGGCTTGCTTCTAGGTCTTCCTAGAAACAAAAAGTGGACTGCTTGACCTGCTGCAGATGCAATGGAGGCAAAGAAGAAGGTCCTTCACTGCTATCACTGCCACTCCATAGGCCAACAACTGCAGTGGGTGGTATGTTCTGTCTACTTCACAGTGACTTTTCCACCAACATAAGATTCCTGCTGGATCAGACTAGTGAGGATTCATCTAGTCCAGCATCCTCTTTTACATTGTGGTGAAACTCTTGTCCTCGAGGGCCAACAAACAGAGCATGGAGGCAGAGGCCTTCCCTTAATGTTGCCTCCCAGCTCTGATTAATTAATTAATCTATCAGCTCTGAGTCTGGAGGTTCTCTTTAGTCACCACCATGAATCTCTTCCATGAATCTGTCTAATTCACTCATGGCCATCATTATATCCATTGGCAGTGAATTCCACAATGTAATCACTTGCTGACTAAAGAAGTGGTCCCTTTGGCGTATCCTGAATCTAGTGCTCATCAATGTCATCAGGTGGAGAATCGTACAAAATATTTCAAATTAGGCCAAACAATAGACCTATACCAAACCATTACAATATTGGCTGTTTCATTTTCAATTCCTTCCCTAATACTCCATAACATTTGTCACCACTGCCATGCAGTGATAAATTGGGTATCCTCTGCAAACCTGCCCACTACACTGTTCACTGCCAATTCCAATTTATGAACCAACTAGAAGAAAGGCCCATTGCGGCAATAAATGCAACGGTCTCTAGAGGAGGGCCCAGGTGAGTGCGTTGTCATGGAGCAGGCACCCCCCCCGCAGCGGCTCTCCGCTGCCACCTCCGCTGCCTGGGTTGGACAGCAGGAGGCGGCTGACGCCATGGCAGCCCTGCAGCACGGAGGGCTGCTGGTGGTGCCAGATGATGACAGGGTGGCTGGCGGAGGGGCACCCTCCTGCCTCCGCCACCGCCTCATCTTCAGCCGCTTCCGAGTCCGCCAGCAACTGAGCATCATAGCCGGGTGTGGCAGAGCACTTGTGGAAGCGGACCAGGGGCCCGCAAGGTAAGTGGGAGTGGCTTGGGGGGGAGTCGTATATACTGACCTTGTCATGTCCTGGTCCCCATCAGGACTCACAGAAAGTCGGCGGCGGGACAGAAGGCCACCGACAACCCCCACCATTGCCAGAGGTGCCCCACGGCCCCTGACCCTCCTGGAGGTACAGAGAAGCGCGAGGCTGGGCAAAGCAGTGCAGAGGCCCATGGCAAAGGAAACAAGACAAAACTGGGGCCAATATAGAACCAATAATACACTCTGAACCATGAGTAGTATGCTAGATACAATTGCTTGGGGCCAATATAGAACCAATAATACACTCTGAACCATGAGTAGTATGCTAGATACAATTGCTTTATACTAGATAGTTACTATAAAGTATACAAAATTTCCCCAAATATTTACAACAATAAGAAAACAATAGAATATCAGTGGCTGCCAACAGCCCCAAAATAACAGTGGAATTCCTAAACAGTTACTGTTGGCAGTCAAAAAAGTAGAGGGCTTAATGAGCTGAAAGCTACTGGAGCTTGACGAAGCAGCCGGCTTACACTTGGTTTCGTCTAGTGACTTCCTCATAAGCAGCTTAACTGTTGTTGTATATAAGTTTTCTTAATATGTGTATTTTCTTGGTTTTTAAGATACTCCTCTAGAGTTGCTACCTTTAATATAGGGACTAGCCCTTATTTCCTTGGACCATATCTCCTATGGGACCTGTCCTTGATAGACTAAGCTTCTTAGCCAAAGGTCTCAACTTGGTGCCCCCTAAGAAATTTAAATGCCCCCTGAAAAAGGAAATCCTGGCTACGGGCCTGATCTGGACCCAGAGACTTATTTTTGCTTGCCTTACTGTCAGCTTACATTTGTTTTGCCAGACTTTGTACTCCTTTCAACTCACTTCACTTGGGCAGAACTTTCACTCCCCCCCCCGAATGTACACAAACTCCTTGCCTTGACTTAGTTTGCTAACCATGCTGATAATCCTTTGGACCTTCCCAACCTGTGATATGCATTCTGTCTGAGCTTCAAGTAGCACGGCTTTAAATATGTTCCAAACATGCTGGAAGGATATGATTCTCTTCATGCTTTCTTTCAGCATCCTGACTAGTTCCCTCATTTTAATGAATTTCCCTATATTGAAATCAAAAGTGATTGCCTTGGACTTTGGGGGTAACTTTCCATTGAAATAACTGCTAAACTTGATAGCAATGTGGTCACTGTTCCCAAATAGTGGAACAACATATGTATCTCATATCAAGTTCTCAGGCCCCACTCAGAACCCAATCCATGGTCACGAGTATTACCCCTCTAGTCACTTCTGTGATCAACTGTTCCAATGTACAGTCATCCAAAAATCTCACCAACAACTCTCAGTGTTTCCATACCCATTTCATGTCCCCTACCTTCCAGTAAACCATAGTAATGAGATTCTATGGGATCGGGGAAGAGGGCACTGAGAAGCAACCTTGTACAGAGCCTGAAGTAGTTCTTCATTCTAGGATGGCATTAAAACACCAAGTTGCTGGCATTAAATTAAATAAATAGGTAGGTAGATAAAACCTTTATTGCCTTAAGCAGACCACCAGCCAACTGACTGGTAAAAAATGGCACATTCAGTTCATGCCTTCTCATGTGTTTTGAGCCCAACACAAACTTGTGGAACAACCAGAAATCCATGGGCACAGCTTGACAAAATAATTCCTGCCTGAATGTCGAATCTCCCAGAGCCACAATCCAAGATGTTTCCAGCACTAAGTCCAAGGTGACCTTACCAGTTCAGCTAGGTCACCCAGCAGCACCACACAGATGGTAAACCAACAAGAGCCAAAATAGTCCCTGGCTTCTAACACAAGGAATGCACAATCAAAACCAGATACTAGTTACTCTGCATGGTTAGAGCAATTTGCCACACATATTTTACAACTGCCTGCCACGGAGGCTGTCACTAGAGGGCAGCAAATTACAAGTCCAAAGAGAGAAGGGGCAGATGACTGACAACCCCACTCTCCCTCCTGGCCAGACAGACAAGCAGTCAATAAAATTCCATATAATGAATGATACAACAAACAGGATATCAGTAAGGTTCAAGGATTATTATTAAATTACTGCTGATCAGGATCTGGGGAAATCAAATATTTAAAGAGAGGTGACAATATTCATGCCATTTTAAATTAATATACATGTGAAATTGTAATGTACTCTAACAATCTAATTAAAAGCTTTTTCTAAATTGTTGGTAAGAGGAAGAAATAGACACCTGTCCTCCCACCTTGTATAAACAAACAATTCAGTAAAATGGATATGGCCCCTTGAAAAAATCCTACTGATAAAATTGTATCCGTGCCAAGAACAATTTAGAGGTTATTTTTATATTGATGGAGTGGCTAAGATACGGATTTCTGTGATTTTTAAACCAACAATACTTTAAATTGTGAATCATTAATATGCTACAAAATGTATACACATTTATTTTCCCATGGAGCAATTCCCATCTTCATGTTTCTAAAGCCCCAGCCCCGATCCAGCATCAACAGCTTGACAACTGTATAAACAGTGAGAATGTATGTAGGGAGTCTCATTCAGGGGGAAAGGAACTTGATGAGCTTTATTTCCCTAATCTCCAGTAGCAGCTACTTGTCCAAGGGCCCTTACAAATCAAGCAACAGCATGGTAAATTGACTGAACCAGATCGCAAACAGCTTCAATCTGAGCCAAGTTCACAACAGAAGTCTTGTACATTTGGGGGGAGGGGGGTGCACAAGAAGATACGTACCCATCTATTTGCATTCTAAATTTAAACAAACGTTTAACATGTATGGTCTCCGAAAGACTACAAAAACAAAAAGGAGTGGGCCTTAAGAAACTGGAGGGGAGGAGTGTTATCACTTGTGGGCATTACCAAATTGGTGTCTGCAACAACCACACAAAATAATGCAGAGTTGATTATAGAATTGCTGGTCATCCCTCCAAAATCCATTTGACCGCAGACCATGCTGGGATACTATATAATTAAAAATGACTGCCATGAGCAATAGCAGGTCTATCCCACCAGGCAGCGTCTCTGCAAAACCACAAGTGAGCACCACTTTCAAATAGACAGGAACAGTGCAATTAACCAGGATGCAATTCTTTTTGTGCTATACTCATGTCAAGATATCAGATCCTTTTATCCCCTGGAATTTGCTTACATAAATCTTCCATTATATAAATGTAACTGACGTATCTAGAGTGAGGTTAGGAGAGAATTTGTAGAATAAAATGAAAGGCTCCCTGCAAGGAAGGGGTGCTGTGTCCTGAACTGGACATTTAATTATTGTAGTCTGGCGACAGTGACAAGGCTGCTTTCGAGCCCCCAGACTGCCTTTCCACGGGCCCCGCGGCGACCAAAGGCGCGCGAGCCATTTCAGCATCCTGGACAGGGCATCTTCCAAGCACCAGGCTCGCGAAGCCTTCGGCCGCAGCCTGTTCACACGCGCCCGCGAGACTCCCGGACACACCCGGGCCTGAGAAGCGGGTGAACAGCTGCTCCGCGGCCCGGCGGAAGACTCGCGGGGTTCCATTTTAGCTCCAGGGAGCCGAGCTGAGGAACATTCTGGCACGAAGGAGGGGGGTCCCCTGCGCTGAGCTGCTCTGGTCTCTCGCCTCGCCCAACCAGAGCCTCCGCGGCCGGCAGCGCGGTGGGCCGCGAGCGCGTCTCGAGCCCGGGGCACCCCTCCCAAACCACCCACCCGTGCGCCGCCCGTGCGTGCCTTGGCGTGGGGGGTGTCTCCGTGCCGGGAGGCCCCTGCTGCGTCCTGTGCATGACGGCGGCGATCTGCTTCCTTTCCTCCGCGCTGAGCCGGCTCAGGTCCTCCTGCACGCCGGCTGGAATAGAGGCCGGCCCTCGCGCCCCGCCATCCGCCGCGCTTTCGGCCCCCTCGCCCTCCAGGCTCGCCTCGTTGCCCATGGCTCCCTACAGGCGTCCGAGAAAGGCACGTCGCTCCAGCCGCCTTCGCGTCCCGGGGATCTCGGAGCAGCGAGGTCCCCTCGCGGTAGGGATGGATTGCCCCCCCCCCTTCCCCGGCTGCCGGAGAAACAGACGAGAACGGGGCCCAGAGCGCGCTCCTCCTCCACGCTCCCCCGCCTGAGCCACAGAGCGCATGCTCCTCCGTGCATAAGGCGAACGAGCGTTGTGCCTCGCCTCTTCTCCCCTGCAGTCAGAGTAGCGCCCCCCCCCCAGCCCAGCCCAGTAGTCCAGCATTTAAAGGTTCCGCGTTACACACTGCAGAAGAGGCTCCGGGGTTACACGCAAAAAACATTCTTAACTTCGGTTAACCCTTTGAAAGGTGCTAAACATGTCGAGAGCACATACATACACCTGCTCTCTACTTTTCAAACACACACACTGAAGGTATGGTTGCTGAGATGTCAACATCATGCCTTTCTGGCCTGCTTCTCAGCGAAAAGGCCCCCTGAGGCTAGCTTTCAAAATAGCACACAAGAAATACAAATTTATCAGATTGCAATGAGAGATAAAAAATGCCATAAAAATAGCAAAACCAGAAACGCATCTGACCTGCAACGGACAGTCCAGCATGTTCTCATTAAATCGAATTAACAGTGGGTAAAACAATTCAAACCATACACAATGTAGCATCTCGTCATTTTGGCCCCTTAACTGTATGCATTCTCACGAAGACAGAGAAATTGGCACAACATACACTGTTTCATGCCATTGCTGCTTTTTAATCTCTGAACTCTCTCATCCCCAAGAGCCTTGGGGTTAAATGTCAATTAGACATTTTTGCTACTAGCTAATTCCTTCTCTCAGCCCACTGAGTCTCCAGTCCTTTCTCAAGAAAACATCAGAACAGTTGTTCTGATCAGACCAGATCAGACCAATGGTACATCTAGTCCAGCATGCCATTTCACCAAACAGCCTCAGAAAAGGAAGAGCCCCACCTAGGGTTGCCAGGTGCACTTACCTGACTATAGTGAAGAATCCAGTCCTAAGATGACTAACCATGTAATAAACAGACTGGCATACAAGACGCTAAATATATTAAACATTATATCAGTTATATTATTGATTTCAAAGTGTAACTGTAAATAACATCATTGTGCCAATAAATACAATTAATAAGGATACATGCAGTAATTGTGATTATTAAAATACATGAAGTTATTGTAATTATTATGAAGTTATTGTGATTGTTGATGAGAACCTCCGGATTGAGTTCCATTTCGTCTCTTCGTCTGAACAAATTTTCAATATAAAACAATTTATACAGCAAATATCATAATATGTTTTTCAAAGTTTTTTCAAAAAAAATTTACAAACAATTTTTAGAAACATATTTTACCAAAAAAGAATTCAGAAAAAAGATCCATGGTTAAATACCTTCAATAAGTGTTTCAAAAAGTCCTATAATTTCCCCATTCTAATATTTCTAGTCGCAATTCCTGCGTGTCATATAAACATTTGTAAAAAATTGTTTGTAAAAATCCGGAGGTTCTCGTCAACAATCACAGTAGCTTCATAATAATTGCAATAACTTCATCTATTTTAATAATCACAATACTGCATGTATCCTTATTAATTGTATTTATTGGCACAATGATGTTATTTACAGTTACACTTTGAAATCAATAATATAACTGATATAATGTTTAAATATATTTAGCGTCTTGTATGCCAGTCTGTTCATTACATGGTTAGGTGCACTTACCTTGCTGGCAGGGGGCTCCCGATGTCCTTCCGAGAGACCAGAAGTGATGTTGGGCAACTTCTGGTAAAACTGAAAATGCAGGCATGATGACATCACCCAGAAGTGATGCCATCACATCAGGGGCGATGCTCTGGTTTTTGGGCAAAATTCTATGGTAAATTTGGCTTCAAACCATAGAGTTTTGCCCACAAACCAGAACATCACTGCCGAAATCCCTGACGTGATGATATCACTACCGAGTGACATCATCACATTGGGGCCTGCATTTCCGGTTTTACCAGAAGTAGCCCAGGAAGGTCAATTAGGGGCAGGATTTCCCCCTGCCAGCCAGTCATCACCACACCCTGTGGCAGTGAATTCTACAACTTAATTGTTTTTGAGTGAAACAATACTTTCTTTATAAAAATTTCTTTTGTGTGTTTGTGTGTGCAGGCGCATGCGCATGCCTGGAAGTCATGGTTGAATTCTGGCAACCCCTAGTGGGGCTTGGATGTTATAAGAGTGGTTTGCTATTGCCTACCCCTGTGTCAAGGTCCTGGTATTGCTTGGAGGTCTCCCATCCAAGTACTTGTAAAGGTTGCCCTGCTTATCTTCCAAGATCTGATGAGACTGGGCTTGCCTGGGCTATCCAGGTCAGGGCTAAACAATACTTTCCTTTGAGTGTCCTAAGCTTACTGCAATCAACTTTAATGGCGCCTGCATGTTTTAGTGTTATAGAAAAGGGAGAAAAACTTCTACTTTCTCCAGCCCATGCATCATTTAATAAACATCTATTATGCATCCCTCCCCCAGTAATCTAAACTGAAAAGTCCCAGACTCCTTACAATTTCTGCTTAGCAGGGTACTCCAACCCTTTCATTATTTTTTGTACCTTTTCAGATGTTACAGTACCATTTTTGAGATAACAGCAACCAAAACTGTACACAGTATTCAAAATGTAGCCATATATTGATACTGACAGTTTAATTTTTAGTCTGTTTCCTAATAATACCTGGTACAGAGTTTGCCTTTTTCACCAGTGATGTACACCACATTAACATTTTCAGCCACCTGGCCACCATGACCTCCAGATCTCTTAAGCATTGTATTGGGATATTTGGATAATATAGCAGAGTTTGTCCAGCCATAGAAGCATGGCACTGAGTGCGGTAAATAAATCTCCCAAGAGATATATTGCAAAAAAGGTAAACTTACATTTATTCAAGTAGTTCACATCAATTTTCCCTCTAAGCTCCACAACGTTGTGAGCAAAAATTCTACCTCATGAGCAAAAAAAGCCAATAGTATTGAAGCTGTGAGCGAGTCTACATTTGACTATCACATAAATTAGGGATTTTTTAAATTATTTCCATTACATTGTAAAAATCTCAGAATGAATTATTTTAAACTATATTTAAACTATATTTTAGGCATAATTAAAACATTATAAAAGAAAACAGAATAATCAAATTTCATTACAGAAAATGTCGTCCTCTGTGGGAGTAGACCAGACCTCCTGAGAACAGGTCTATCCTCTCCTTTCCACTATATTGATAGACCTGGGCTCCAGAGAACAGGTCTATGCACCCCTTTCCACTGTATTGGTAGGCATGGCCTCCAGAGAATTGGTCTACCCACCCCTTTCCACTATGTTGGGAGACCTGGCAATCGGAGACTAGGTCTACCCACCCCAGTACGTTATATTGGTAGACCTGGCCTCTGGAGAACAGGTCTCCCCACCCCAGTCCACTATATTGGTAGACCTGGCCTCCAGAGAACAGGTCTACCCACCCCTTTCCACTATATTGGGAGACCTGGCCTCCAGAGAATTTATTTATTTATTTATTTATTTATTTCATTAAATTTATTCCCCGCCCTACCCCGCAAGTGGGCTCAGGTCTATCCGCCCCTGATTTTACTTGACCTTTCTCCCTCTACATTGAATAAAACATTTTGTTTATTTTTTAACATTATCAAGCCACTAATGGGCCATTTCAGAAGTTTAAGTTAAGAGGATGATCTTGTCTCTTCCCCGAAGCTCCTGGGCTGAGCCAGCATAAAAATACAATAATGTGACAGGGTGGGACAGCCATAGATCTTCAGGAAAGAAGATAATAGATAAAGGGGCTAGTCAGAAAGGAAGAGAAAAATGGAGGGAAAACCCTGCGTCTGAGGGAGGGAAGGGGGTGAGGTCATCATACATGGCAACATAGTCTCTCAATTTCTGCTGTTTGTGGCTTTTCCTTTCTTTCGTTTCCTTTTGTACCCTTAGAAGCTCATTGATTCATGAATCTTGAGCGGCAGAAAACACTTATTTCTTATTTTTTAGATGCAAGGGCTAAAAGGACTGAGACAAATTTTGCAATTGCTAGAGTGATCTTAGGATCCCTATCACTGAGCAAAAGAGCCAGGGTTTCTGGAGTATAGGGGGATGATTGGTTGAATAAAGGCTTACTATAGTAATCCCTCATAATCTCAAAAAATCTGCATTGCAACAGGGTGTGAAATGATGTATAATCCTGTTAAGGCCACAAAGGCAAATTCTATCAGTGTATTTGAAAATCTCCCTTACAAAACCATTGTAGGTATAATGTTCAGTCTTGCAGACAAAAAACCTCTTGGATAAGAAAGATCAAAAATAGGGGTGAGTATACTCTTCAGGCTCTCAGAATCAAACTACTATGGTCGATTTCCAGGACTCGCTTTTTGACCATAGAAAATACTTTGTTTTTGCCCATCTCAAAAATATCATCAATCGACATTACAACTTTCACCAGTTTGACTTTTCTGTCAGCAAATAACACACAGTAGATCTTGAAAAATCATCAATGAAAGATAACAGATCAATGTTATTTCTGTTTGATGCTGTTTTGATAGGCCCACATAAGTCAGTATGAATTCATTCAAGTGGTTGCTTAGAGCGTTTCTGATTCTATTTGGGAATAGAAGACTGAGTTGCCTTTCCTTTTATACAATTTACACAACAATTAATTATCATTGGCACATTCGCTTATATTGATATCTGTTACCAAGCCCTTTGTTTATAATTTCAAGATGGCTTCTGGGTCATAATGAACAAATCCCCTGCACCTAAGATCCATGGACTTCTGGTTAGTGGTTGTCTTGGCTGTACAATCCTTTGGTATCTGGCAATCTAGCTCAAAGACTCACTCTCTCTCTCTCTCTCTCTCTCTCTCTCTCTCTCTCTCTCTCTCTCTCTCTGTGTGTGTGTGTGTCTGTGTGTTTGTGTGTACGTGAG